TTTGTGAGAGTACAGATCTAACTTGTCACCTCTGTATCCCTAGTGGTCTTAGCTCAATGAATATTTGTTGAATAGATAAATAAGATCTTGATTGCAAGGCAGTATATTATAATGGTGAAACCAACTGCTTAGGTTTCAAATCAAGCTCTTCCATTTACTAGTTCTACAACCTTGGGAAATTACTCGACCTCTCTATGCCTCTGTTTTCCCATGTATAAGATGGTGCTCATAATAATGTTGACATAAGAAACCTACAAACCTGTAAAAAAATATTTATAAGAGTTTATTTGAGCTCAAACTGATGGCAATTTCTGGGAAGCAAGATCTCAAATGCTCCACACAGTGATGGTTTGCAGTTTCTCTGATGCATTTCGAATTATGGAGGAACACAAGGAAGTGAGGATTGGATTACAGGACAGGTAACGAGATTATGTGCTTTCTTAAGGGTAGTTAGTTTATTCTTTCTTTTTTTTTAAATCCTCACCCAAGGATATTTTTACACTTATCTTCAGACAGAGTGGGAGGGAGGAAGGGGAAGAGAGAGAGAGAGAGAGAGAGAGAGAAACATCAATGTGAAAGAGACACATGGACTGGTTGCCACCCGCACAACCCCAACTGGGGCCAGGGACGAACCACAATTGAGGTACATGCCCTTAGCGGGAACTGAACCCGGGTTTCTTTGGTCTGTGGGCTGACACTCCAACTGCTGAGTCAAACTGGCCATGTCTGGTTAGCTTATTTCAAAGGTATGTTAAACCTTGATGCATAAAAATAATGGACAGGGCCTGCTTAAGGCACAGATAAAACTTTTACTAAAAAAGTTATATGCTTTGGGTGTGACTACCCATCATGACCTCCCCAGTTAGGACTTTATGATTATATCACCCTGTGAGTTTGCTGTAGAACTCCTTTTTGTCCACAACAGTTTCTAGATCGTAGAGTAGTTTTGAGAGATAAGATTAATATATAAAGTACTTAGAAGAATGCATGACACGTATACCTGCTATATAGAAGTAGCTAATATATACACATTCATATACATATACATATATGTATGTATGTGTATATATATATATATATATTTGCTTTTATCTTCAGGTAGAGCGGGAGGGAGAGAGGGAGGAGAAAGAGAGAGAAACATCGACATGAGACACATCGACTGGCTACCACCCACACGACCCCAACTGGGGCCGGGAACAAACTGCAACTGAGGTACGTGCCCTTAGTGGGAACTGAACCCAGGCCTTTCTGGTCCACGGGCCGACGCTCTAACCACTGAGCAAAACTGGCCAGGGCATAAAAAAAGTGGCTAATATTTTTATTAGAGAAACATTCTATCTTTAACAGACTACAGAAGTGAGAAATACAGTTTTGGGAGAAGAGTAGTCAGCAATACCAAGAGTTTTGGTTGGCGTTCAGTAAAGATACCAGAGAGTGTGGATTGGGAGTTTTGGGAAAAGGCTATACTTAGAGATCTGACTCTTGCCACTTCCCTCTGCTTTTGACATCCATCTCATCTCCCACCAGGCTGTCACACTAGCCTTTTTTGGTTCCTTTAACAGGTCAGGCCCTTCACAATGCTGTTTACTCAGCCTGGAAGGGCACAGAGTCTGGACTCAATAAATATTTAATGATTCAATATTTGAATTTGGAACTCTTTTAAGTGGAGATAAAACTAAATCCCTGGGAAAGTATGAGACTGCCATGTGTGGTGGGTAGTCAAGCCCCAGGCCTATACTTCCTTAGTAAAAGGCTAAACCAGCCCTATCCATTGTTCTTAATGCATCTAGGTTAACACACCTTTGAAATGCCAGAAGTAATCCTCTTTTCTCAAAAGGAGTAACCACCCTCAAGAAAGAACATAATTTTGTTAACTCTCCTGTACTCCAATCCGCACTTCCACTTTCTCCCATTTTTATGTAATCTTCCTTCCATTCCCTCCTTAATTCCAAATGTATAAGAGAAACTTCAAAACTGTCATTCTCGGGAGAATATGACATCTTGCTTCCAAGCATATGTCACCAGTTTGGCTCACATAAACCCTTATAAAAATTCTTTAGAGGTTTGGGCATTTCTTAAGTCCAGTACACATGTAAGAAAGCATGACAGACCCTGGCTGGTTTGTCTCAGTGGTTAGAGCTTCACCCAAGTAAGGGCCTTGGGTTTGAGTCTTGGTCAAGGGCACATACCTGGGTTGCAGGTTCAATCCTCAGCTCTGGTTGGGGTCATGCAGGAGGCAATCAATTGATGTGCCCCTCTTTCATCAATATTTCTCTCTCTCTCTCTCCCCTCTTCCCACCCTTTCACTCTCTATTTAAAAAAAAAAAAAAAAGGTGTGAGTACAGAAAAGAAGAGCCAGCAAATACAAAGAAGTATTAGGAGAGGTTAACAAGGACAGTTGGAGTGAGATGTTTTAAATAGATAGATATCATCTTAAATGCTCAGAGGCAAAGAGGGTGAGTACTGAGAGAATTTCTAGATTTGGCAATAATTTCAGGAAGGAACTCAAGAAAGTAATTTTCCCTGAAGTTGGGAGGGGCAGGGAAAGCAGAGGGTAGATAGTAAAGTCAACTTATATAGACTAGTTTACCAAAATGATAAAGACGAGAAATGTGATTTTATGGACAAACTGTGTTTGGGGGATTTCTCTGGTTGGAGAAGGGTAAGGAAGCAATGGAGAGACAAACAACGAAGGGTACAAACAGGAAATAAAAACATCAGGTTAGATCCTGGAGACACCGTACATTTCTATTTGTACTATTACAACGTCCACAGTGCTTTTCACACACACAGTCTTAGGGCCTCCCAGCTCTCTGACGATACACCTTCTTATCCAGTGGTTCTCAAAAGTGTGGTGCCTAGGTCAGCAGCATTAGCATCACTAGGAACTTGTCAGAAATGCACATTCTTAAGTCCTACGCCAGATCTTCGTAATCTCTGCGGGTGAGGCGGACAATCGTGTTTTTTCAAGTCCTCCAGGGGACTTCGATGCTCTCCAAGTCCCCACAACGCCCGCACTCAGAAGAAAATGACAGAGACCATTGCAAGAGCGGAGACAACAGTCCGAGGGCGGAATTTCTTCCTGAACCCTCCAGTTGTACCTTCCTCGCTGACGGGTAGTGCACGACCCACACGGTCAGCACCAGAGAGCAAACCGTCCCGCCTCGGACTTGGACCGAGCGAGCTCTACCAACTCAGCCGGGGCGGAGGCCACCCACTAGGGCCCGCGGCACCAAACCAGGCCCCGCCCCTGGCTTCGACTTCCGGCGCCAGAGGAGGGGGTCGATGGGGAAGGGATTGGGACGTAGGTGCCCAACGTCCTCGAGGCCGTCGGAGGTGATGGGGAGTCTTTTGTTCTTTCAACCCCTCCATGTGCTGAGGCCGGATAACGCCGCGGGGAAAGAGTGATGGGCTAGTTGAGGATGTGTCCAGGAAACCTGAATTCAGTAACGTAACAAGAAAGGTTTGGAAACATTCCCTCCACCCTTTCTCTACTTTCCCACCCCCAGCCCCGTGGAAGGAAACATCGGGGCTCAGAGCCACGAGGGGGGCGGGGCAAGGCTCCAGAGGAGGAAGTCTCGCGATAGCAGACTGTGGGGCGGGGGTGGCACCTCTTCCCTCCTCCTCCTCGCGTTAGTTCCGGTCGCACGGGAGAGACCGCCGCAGTTGTCGCCACATCTGGAATTTCTGGCCCTTTTCTCTTCGCCTTAAATTCGGTGAGGCTTGGCGCCCTCCTGTCTGGGGTCGAGGTTGCGGCCCCTCGTCGGCGAGTAGAGAACGAGGGAGGCGGCAGGCCCTGGGCTGCCCGGCTTGGATGGGCCGAGCGGATGCCGCCGCAGGAGGCCGGGCCGGAGCCGGAGCCAGTATTCGAGGGCCGGGGCCACCGCCTCATCAGGGAGGCCGGGGGGCGGCCCCGGCCAGAACGTGGGTCCGGGGGCTGCGTCGCGGCGCCAGAGGTGGAGGCCGTGGCCGAGACCGGCCCCCCCTCCGGTCCTGCCGGGCCTGGGTAACAAAGCCACCGCGGCCTCTGTTGGGTGATGTACGCGTGGGGGGTTCCGGCGGGCGGGGCGGAGGAGCCGCCACCACCACCACTGCGGCCGCCTCCACCGCAGCTGCTTTCGCTGGAGGGCGGGCGGATGTACGGGGCGGCTGGGCCCCCGGCGCGAAGCGCCTCGGCGCCTGTGGTCCGCTCGTTGCGGCGGCCGCCGACGCCGGCGGCGGGGTCAGTAAAGAAGGGGCTGCCGGCCGAGGAGCATCCCCCGCCGCGCCCCGCCAGGACCGAGGGGCTGTCGGGCGGGGTCGCGGGTTGTCGTTCGTGCGGGACGCACGGGAAGGGTGTGGATAGGGAGACAGACACGTGCCCTTGGAGGAGGCTGGAAGTGTAGGGCATGGCGTAAGGGAGGCTAGGCCCGCTGTCAGTTGATTGTGCGGGCGGGAGTGGTGAAGCGGTCTCTGCAGTCACGGGTGCGACTCCAGGGTAGAGTCCCCCAGAAGGGATTCGCCTTTTGACAGTATCCTAAAATGACATACACCTTGACTAACTAGTTGGTAATCTTAGTCTCTGGCGTGCTTAGTGGCAAATATAAAGAGGAACGAGGAAGAGCAAAATACTGTCTATGGTGGATGATTTGCTTCCAGTCACTGGCGCTGTAAAGTCAACTAAAAGTGTATTTCACATTACATCTTTTTTTTTTTTTTGGACGTGGGGGCCGAACCTAGGACTGTCTGGTCCGCAGGCCAACGCTCCAACCGCTGAGCCAATCCGGCCAGGGCTCACATTACATCTTTAAAGAATTTCTTGTAGGTAGAAACGCAAGTTTTGAAGTTATATTTAATTAAAGTGAAGGTTAATTATTTTTGCCTGCCCACGTATATTGTCAAGACTGAAAGTATGTGTTCAGTTTGTTTTGTATGTGACTAGACCAAGTTTTAATGCTTTGTTTTGAAAATGAATGTTATGGCACTGATTTTTATGGCCTTATTCTTCTTTTCCTAGGGTGTCTTTTATGAATAATCAAAAGCAGCAAAAACCAACGCTATCAGGCCAGCGTTTTAAAACCAGAAAAAGAGGTAAATAATTTATTTAAAAATATCTCTTCAAACTTCCAGAATAACTTTTATAACTTGGATCCTCTGGATGGCAACTGCTCAGTACTAAAACCTTAAAATACCAGAAAGGAAATTGAATTTCTAGTTGACCATTTCCGATACCCTTAATATTTCTACGTGAATTCTTTTAGAAAAGTATGGGTTGCGTTTTCAGTGGCAAATTTTATTTAAGCAATTTTTTGCTTCAGGGGAAAGGTTCATTGGTAAAAAGAGAGCTCCTCTTGTGAGTATTGATTTCACCCAAACGTTATGAAGACTCCTGAGAGAAAAATTAGATTTGGCCCATGGAGATTGATTATGGAACAGTTAACATTGTAATGTTTTTTTTTTGAAATTAAGTATTTATCACAGACTTAGTAAGAAAAGTACTAAAATTATAGAAACTACTCTTTATTAGTGGATACTTAGATGAATATTGAATTTTGTAGCAAGGCACTGCTGTGCACTGGTAATGCAAAGTTAAATGAGATGTGGTGTCAGGTGAATTTTGTATTGGCCTTAATATTTTCTCCAAAACTTTTTGTTGCTCAGAAGCACATGTTGACCTTATTTTATAGGGGATTTTGAGGAAAAGGAGAACTGGGTCAACTATTGGTTATAAATTGTTTTTCTACTCTTGAGTAGAGACACTTTGAGATATATATTTTAAATCTTTTGTAACCCCTAATTATAGTCTGTCCCCTTGTAGTGGGGAGAACAAAAGTGATTTGATTCTAGTCTTTACAGATTCATTTACATTTAAGCCAGTAGATTTTCCCAAGCGGAGGAACAGAAGTTGGAAACCAGAGCAATTTAGCAATAATAGGGAAGAGTCCGTATCCTCTTGAGTATGTGGATTACTGGCATCATCTCTATATAATTTTATTGTTAGCATTAGGAAGAGATGTCACTTTCTCGCTTTCAGATTGAGATCACTCATGCCCTCCTAATTCTTAATGATTGGGTCTTGGGTAGGATGAACACCATCCTGATTTATCTAGGGCCAAATAGAGTTCCCAGGACATAGGCCTTCCAGTGCTAAAAACAAGAAAGTCCTGGGCAAACAAGGAGGAGTTGGTCACCCTTGTGCTGTGTGAAAATTAAGGTAGCATCTGCCCTGGCCGGTTTAGCTCAGCAGTTGGAGCATCGGCCTGCGGCACAGAGAGGCCCGGGTTCGGTTCCCGCGAAGGGCACGTACCTCGGTTGCAGTTTGTCCCCGGCCCTGGTTGGTCGTGCGGGTGGCAGCCACTCGATGTGTCCCTTCACATCGATGTTTCTCTCTCTCTCTTCCTCTCTCTCCCTCCCGCTCTATCTGAACAAAAAATGGAAAAATGTCCTCAGGTGAGGATAAAAAAAAAAAAAAAAATTAAGGTAGCATCTAACCTAGACAGAAAAATCAAGCACTGGCATGGAGTATATCATAGCAATTCAGTAAAAGCTAGATACGCACCCAGGGCACTCTTATGAGTACTTTATATCTTATTTATATCCTTTAATATTCACAACAACTTTATGAGATAGGCACTATTAATCACCATTTACAATAGGAAAATTTATGCATAAACAATGAGACTAGTTGCTCAGACAGTTAAATGATGGTCAGGATTTGGATCAGGCAGTTTGACTCAAGAGCTTTTTCTCTTAGCTTCTAGTCTTGAATTTCTCCAGGCTTTAATTTTCCTTCCAAATAGTGGGAATGAAAAGATCTACCTCACAAGGTTGTTAAAAGGATTGAAGCAAGGAAGCTATTGCAGTTTCTGTCATATATTGGATCTTAATAAGTACCAATGGAGTGAGTTTTTTAGAAAGTATACACAGTGGCCCTGGCTGGTTTGGCTCAGCAGTTGGAGTGTTGGCCTGTGGACCAGAGAGTCCTGGGTTTGGTTTCCGCTAGGGGCACATACCAAAAAAGAAAGGAAGTATACAAAGTATTATGAGCATTTAAAGAAAAGAATGAACAACTCCAGTGTTTGGACAAAATTTAGGAATTAAATTTACTTGAGGTTTAGGGGATGTCCTAAATTTCAGAAAAGTCCAGAGGCAATGGAAGAACATTCCAGATAGGCAGTAGGAACACACGAGCTTATTTAGCTCACTTAATGACTTAATGTGAAAAAATAATGGAAGAAAAGCTACACAGTTCTGTGCCTAGACAATCCTGCCTTGTGCTAACACACGGGAAACTTGCACAGGGTATGTGTTTATTCTTCTGTTTATTTGCTAGTGTTCTAGGTCTTGAGTAATCTAGCTTGTGTTTGTTTTTTTCCAGATGTTGAATTAAATGAAATTGTGATTAATGTGATTAACTTATTCATTGGTTATAATTTCATAAGGTGGTGGTTTCATGGCATTTTGGTAAACCTTTTAAAACTAAATGTTTCGGCACTGGCCAGTTTGGCTCAGCGGTAGAATGTCGGCCTGCAGGCCAATGAGTCCTGGGTTCGATTGCAGCCAAGGGCATGTACCTCGGTTGCAGTTCGTCCCGGCCCTGGTCGGGGTCGTGCGAGAAGCAACCAGTTGATGTGTCCCACTCATGTCAGTGTTTCTCTCTTGCACTCTACCTGGAGATAAATAGAAAAATATCCTCGGGTAAGGATAAAAATGAATAAAATAACCCAGCTGGTGTGGCTCAGTGGTTGAGTGTTGACCCATGCACCAAGAGGTTACCAGTTTGATTCCTGGTCAGGGCATATGCCAGGTTGTATGCCAAATCCCCAGTGTGGGGCATGCAGGAGGCAGCCAGTTGATGTTCTCTCTCATTGATGTTTCTATCTCTCCCTCTCCCTTCTGTCTCTAAAAATCAATAAAGAAAAAAAAATAATAATAATAAAGTAAAACTAAATGTTTTTGTGTTTTCCACCCCCCAGATGAAAAAGAGAGGTTTGACCCTACTCAGTTTCAAGACTATATTATTCAAGGCTTAACTGAAACCAGTACTGATTTGGAAGCAGTAGCAAAGTTTCTTGATGCTTCTGGAGCAAAACTTGATTACCGCCGATATGCAGAAACACTTTTTGACATTCTGGTGGCCGGGGGAATGCTGGGTAAGTGTCTGGGTTTTGTGGGAAATGTGTTGTATGGAAAAGATTTTTAAGAGTCCAGAATATGAACTATTCTATCAAATTGAGGTGGCTTTGGTTTTTTTAACCCACTTAGGATTTTTCTACTTTTAACTCCCAAATCATAGCAAGTTAGCAAATTGCCTTACTCTGTCTAGCTTTATATTTAAAATGTGTTACAGAATTATAACATTTGGGGATAACTTCTCTTTTCTGATAACCCAAATCCCCTAAAAGATCCCCAATTAGTGATTCTTTTTTCCCCAAACTATGTTTGAACACTACCAGTTAATGGAGAAACCCATCCCTCTTGTTCTGTCTTATGAAATACTTTTATGTACCGAAGCCTCTAGTCCTGTATTCTTCAATACATTAGCTGCTAGATACATATGGCAGTGTATTAAAATTAATTTCACCCTTTATTTTTAATATGGCTATTAGATTTAAAATTACATTATGTGGCTCACATATTTCTGTTGCACGGTGTTGCTTTAACTTAACTCCTACCTCCTACAGCTCAGGATATCTTAACAGAATGTACTGCTTAGTTATGTATCTTCAAATGATGGTGATAATTTTATTTCCTTAGCTCTTTAAGGTATTTCAAAATGTTTTCAGAGTAATACTGTATTGACCCTCACAACCAAGCTGACAGAATCAGAGCTCCCATTTGTATACATGCAGAATGGAGGCTTAGAAAGGCTTCAGTGACTTGTATGCTGTCAAACAGTTGCTCAGTGGTGGAACCAGGAACGTAACATTCATACATTCTAGTACCTAATCAAATGAATATTTCTTTCATTGTACTACCCGTTTGTAGTAAGAAATATGAAATATATGCATTCATAATACTGCCATCAATAAGCCTGTTTATAAAATTCATTTTAGAACAATTTACTAAGGAAAATTTCATTTATTATATATATATATTTTTTTGTCCTCAGCCGAGGACATTTCTCCATTTTTTGTTCAGATAGAGTGGGAGGGAGGGAGGGAGAGGAAGAGAGAGAGAGAGAGAAACATCGACGTGAAAGGGACACATCGAGTGGCTGCCACCCGCACAACCAACCAGGGCCGAGGACAAACCGCAACCGAGGTACGTGCCCTTAGCGGGAACCGAACCCGGGTCTCTCTGGACCACAGGCTGACGCTCTAACCGCTAAGCCAAACTGGCCAGGGCCTAAGGAAAATTTCAAACATATCTTAAAATAGTTGAACTTCTGGTCTTTTACCCAACTTCAGTAATTATTAACCATCTTAATTCTGTTTATGCCCCTGTCAATTTCTTTTATACATCTAAAAAATTTTTTTGTAAATATGTTTTATTGATTTTTTTTTTAGAGAAAGGAAGAGAGTGATAGAGAAACATCAGTGTGAGAGAGATGCATTGGTCTGCTGCCTCCTGCTTTCATCTCCCTTCCCCCATATTTCAAAATATACAGACATCATTTATCCATAAATACTTACAAATGTATTTAAAAGATAAAGTTTCTAACTTGTAGATTTTTATAGCTAGCCTCTTTGGAAGCTTGAAGGGTGGTTTTCTATATGTAAAGTTACGTATCAAAACCATCTTTGGGTCCTGGCCAGTTTGGCTCAGCGGTTAGCGCGTCAGCCCATGGTCCAGAGAGATCTGGGTTCAGGTCCCGCTAAGGGCACGTACCTCGGTTGCAGTTTGTCCCTGGCACTGGTCGGGGTCGTGCAGGAGGCAGCCACTCGATTTGTCCCTTTCACGTTAATGTTTTTCTCTCTCTCTTCCTCTCTCTCTCTCCCACTCTATCTGAACAAAACATGGGAAAACGTCCTCAGGTGAGGATTAAAAACAACAACAACAACTTTGAATATCTCCAATTGAGTGACAGATTTGGCACTGTTGATTTAATGGTCAGTGCAGCAAGTTTCATTGAGTTGCTAAAGTGGGTTATTTCTGTAAATTGTTTGACTTTATTCATACACATTGAATCAACCTAGCTGTGTTCCTGTTGAGAAATTGACTTGCTTTCAGATCATCTGTTAGAATTTTTATCATTTTATTTTATAATGAGAATCCTCACAGAAAGTAAGGTTGAAATGATTACTCATTCTAAATAAAGGTCACTGCAATTTTTTTGTAATACGCCTTAGCCCCAGGTGGTACACTGGCAGATGACATGATGCGTACAGATGTCTGTGTGTTTGCAGCACAAGAAGACCTAGAGACCATGCAAGCATTTGCTCAGGTAAATAAAACTTTACATAATAATTTCAGTTAGTTACTCTCCATCTGACTAATGTTTAAGGGAAAGTCTACTTTTAAGAGGTTGCAGTAGAAGATTGAAGGAATTTGAATTGAAAGGTTTAATTAGAGTCAGTGTTCTTGGTGACATGATGAATTACAAACTTCAAAATGTGTTGAGGAAAACAAAGTAGAAAATATTGAATTAGTTCTTCTTGTTTGTCCCTATGAAATGAATACATTTTAAAGAAAAAAATGTCCAACTGAAAAGGAAAATCAGTTCCCTGTCATGATTTCCATTGAGTTATTCTGCATATAACTGTTTAAAAGGTGAATGAGTTTTAGGCAGATTAGCTTACCAATCAAAATCTCATTTGAAGGTTTTAACATAGTTATGTTTGCATTACTTTAAGCAAAGAATTCAAGTTCAATTTAACAGATAATAGTTATATCAATACGAAAGTAAAACTACATTTTATCATCTTATTCTGTTAATATCCCACAAATGGCTAAATGACTTATATTTGAGCAATAATTAGTCTTGGCTTTAATATTTGGCAGTAAAAATCTATTATAGGGTGCTATTAAAGCATTAACAGCATTGCATTGGTACACTGCAGGGTTTGGGAGTTGACAGATATTTCCCAAGCTGGTTGAAACAACCTATAAACTTATATTTTGTGGGAGGTTCCCTTCTTTTCTGTTCTAGAGATACTATTGGAGAGATTTCAGTGGTCCTGACCTAGATCTTTTTAAGAATCTGGCATCTATACATATGAATTTATCATTATATTTCTTTACTATTCTTCATAGGTTTTTAACAAGTTAATCAGGCGCTACAAATACCTGGAGAAAGGTTTTGAAGATGAAGTTAAAAAGGTATGAAGAGCAATATACTTTGTGGGAAACAGAAGGTTGGGGTCAAAGAGGGGAGTGTTGAATCCTTATTCGGTCACAGATTTCAGATCATTTGTACTTGTTAAATCACTTCTCCCTTTTCACCAATCCCCATCCCATCTGGCGACCATCAGTTTGTTCTCTATATCTGTGAGTTTCTGTTTTATTTGTTCATTTATTTTGTTTTATTAGATTTCCACATATAAGTGAAACCATACAGTATCTGTCTGTCTCTGTCCGACTTAATTTCACTTAGCATAATATTTCTAGGTCCATCCATGTTGTTATAAATGGTAGTATTTTATTTTTTTATGGCCAAATAGTATTTAATTATTAATGTTTTGGATTTCTTCAGATAAATACCCAGAAATGGTATTGCTGGGTCATATGGTAGTTCTGTTTTTGTTTTTTTGTTTTTCCTTTCTTTATTGATTTTAGAGAGGCAGGGAGAGAGAGAGAGAGAGAGAGAGAGATAGAAACATCGATTGCCTGCCTCCTGCATGCCCCATACTGAGGATTCGGCCCACAACCTGGGCGTGTGTCTTGACCGGGAATCGAACCAGCAACCTCTTGGTGCATGGGTCGACGCTCAATCACTGAGTCACACTGGCTGGGTGGTACTTCTAATTTTAATTTTTTGAGTTACTCCATACTGTTTAGATTTTAGATAATTTTAGATATTTAGACAGGCTATCTCTGAAATGTAGTTTTGGGGTAGATCATTTAGTTTAATTTGCTATATACTGTTCCTTACCTCTGTGTCCAAGCAAGTGGCAACACTAAAAATCAAAGTGGAGTTTGTTCAAAAGATAGAGGGTAGAGGATCAGAGCTAAGCACATTGAGAAAGAGAGATTTAGCCTACTTGCTATTTGAGTCTTGGATATACTATGTATGGGTACACAGAAAATCTGGTAATGTTTTTCGTATCATTTATAGAGTATCTGGCACTATTCTAATTATTAGCTCATTTAATCTTCACAAAAACTCTGTGAGGCAAGTTTTATCCACATTTTACATATGAAGAAACAGGCTCAAAGTTAACTTGCCTCAAATCACTCAGCTAATGAGTATTATAACTGAGACATAAACTTGGATGGTACTCCAGAGCCCATACTTGTGACCAATACAGTATGCTTTACTGTTTCTGTTTATATAATTGCTCTTTTAACACGTAACTATTTATTTTTATAGCTGCTGCTGTTCTTAAAGGGTTTTTCGGAGTCGGAGAGGAACAAGCTGGCTATGTTGACTGGTGTTCTTCTGGCTAATGGAACACTTAATGCATCCATTCTTAATAGCCTTTATAATGAGAATTTGGTTAAAGAAGGTAATTAGCCTTTAGTAAAGGATACTTTTTAGTTGGTTGAGGGTAGGGTAAATAAGAGCATGAAGATGAACTGATATAAAAGTTATGATAGAGTTTATCTAAATTTGACTTGTGTAATAGTCTCTTTATCCTTAAATTTAATAGGTTGATTCAAATTATTAGACATTTATTGTATGCTTTTGGCATCCAGGGATAATGGCTTGCTTTAGGCAAACAGCAAATATTCAGGGTCCAGGTGCAATGTGATTATAAAGTAAAAAAAAATTTCAATTTCGTGGTAAGGGTAACCTGTAAGGAGATTAATTCCAATCAGGAGACTTGGGAACATCTTTAATAGAGAAAGTGCCATTGAGGAAAATATCAAGCAGAAAAGGAAAATAAGTTCCTTATTGATTTCCATAGTTAAAGTATTCTGTACAGTAATAAAAAGCTAACTTTTTTAAAACTCAGTATTTTTTTTTATTTTTTTAATCCTCACCTGAGAATATGTTTTTATTGATTTTAGAGAGAGAGAAAGGGAGAGGGAGAGAGAGAGAAACATTGATTAGTTGCCTCTCGTACGTACCGGGACCAGGGATCAAATCTGAAACCTGGGTATGTGCCCTGACCAGGAATTGAACCCATAATCTTTTGGTGTATGGGACAATGCTCCAACCAATCGAGCCATACTAGCCAGGACAAGAATACTGAGTATTTAACATGCCTTATTTAAATTCTCATAACAACCCTGTCAAGAGTAACTGTTAACCCTCATTTTACACATTAGAAAACAGTTCAACTTGACTAAGAATACACAACCAGCAAATGGTAGAGTAGAGAAATTGGTGTTAAGTGGTAAGCAGTAGCAGAGGGATGTTCAGGGGTAAGTGTGGGGATAAAGCGAGTAATCCTTTGTGGTTGAACTATGGATGGAGGAAATGGGGTGGTGCAGTGGTTGAATTCAGGAAGGTAGTTCTGTTAAGTATGCTCTTTTTTTCTATAGGGGTTTCAGCAGCTTTTGCTGTAAAGCTATTTAAATCATGGATAAACAAAAAAGATATCAATGAGGTAGCTGCAAGTCTTCGGAAAGTCAGCATGGATAACAGACTGATGGTTTGTAACTTCTTTCATTCTTTTTTGCCATTCTTGCCAGGAAAATGTAATAAGGGAACTTTGTCATTTGTAATCTTTGAAGAAAAGAGAAATTTTTCTTAATCTGATTTTAAGATCACTTAACTAAATTAAATTCTCCTTTCAGGAACTTTTTCCTGCCAATAAGCAAAGTGTCGAACACTTCACAAAGTATTTTACTGAGGCAGGCTTAAAAGAGCTTTCAGAATATGTTCGGAATCAGCAAACCATAGGAGCTCGTAAAGAACTCCAGAAAGAACTTCAAGAACAGATGTCCCGTGGTGATCCATTTAAGGAGGTATGATATTTTTGTTTAAACTATCGTTATATGGTTAAGTTTCTGGCAAAGAAAAATTTAAAGTGTTCCACCAGAGTGAGCTTTTTTTTTTTTAATCCTCACCTGAGGACATTTTTCAATATTTTGTTCAGCTAGAGTGGGAGGGAGAGAGAGAGAGAGAAACATTGACGTGAAAGGGACACATCGAGTGGTTGCCACCCACACCACCCAACCAGGGCCGGGGACAAACTGCAACTGAGGTACGTGCCCTTAGCCGGAACCGAACCTGGGTCTCTCCGGACTGCAGGCCAACGCTCTAACCGCTAAGCCAAACCGGCCAGGGCTGAGCTTTAATTATTAGCTACAGAACATTGTGTTGGGGTTTTGCCTTAGTCTTTTTCCTAGTTAGCGCCTTACTGGTGCCCAGAAACTATAACACTTGGGGATTTTGTAGGGTGCAAGCCAACGGACAGACTTTCCATTTCCGTCTCAGTTCTTTCCTAGCTAGTTTGCCTATGTGTAAAATAGGGTTTGAATCAGATGTCCATTCCTTCCGGTTCTAAAAGCTCTCTGATTATATATGTGGTACATGTGGTTGTTGCCACTTGCATGAAATGTGTTTTTATGCCTTTTTTTTTTTTTTTGGTTGGGTACAGTGAACTTTATTGATGGTACATGACAAAGTAGGGCTCCCTAAGCCCCTCCCCTTCAGGGGATCTGGGGTGGAAACTAGAGGTCAGGAGATCTCAGTGTGTTGAGGGATCAATTTGGGACAAGGACTCCCCAACAGCTGAGGGCCTCTCTTCTTCTTGCTGGGGTTGGTGGTCCAAGGGGCTCTTACTTCTTAGAGGCCATGTGGACCATGAGGTCCACCACCCTGTTGCTGTAGCCAAATTCATTGTCATACCAAGTTCCCTGTCCTATCAGTACCTGGTCCTCAGTATAGCCCAGGATGCCCTTGAGGGGGCCCTCTGATGCCTGCTTCACTACCTTCTTGATATCATCGTATTTGGCAGCTTTCTCCAGGCGGCAGGTCAGATCCACAACAGACACATTGGGGGTGGGGACACGGAAGGCCATGCCAGTTAGCTTCCCGTTCAGCTCAGGAATGACCTTGCCCACAGCCTTGGCAGCTCCAGTAGAAGCAGGGATGATGTTCTGGGCAGCTCCTCGGCCATCACGCCACAGCTTCCCAGAGGGGCCATCCACAGTCTTCTGGGTGGCAGTGATGGCATGGACCGTGGTCATGAATCCTTCCACAATGCCAAAGTTGTCATGGATGACCTTGGCCAGGTGGGCCAAGCAGTTGGTTGTGCAGGAGGCATTGCTGACAATCTTGAGGGAGTTGTCATACTTGTCATGGTTCACGCCCATCACAAGCATGGGGGCATCCACAGAAGGGGCAGAGATGATGACCCTCTTGGCTCCACCCTTCAAGTGCGCCCCAGCCTTCTCCATGGTAGTGAAGACACCGGTGGACTCCACAACATACTCAGCACCAGCATCACCCCATTTGATGTTGGCGGGATCTCGCTCCTGAAAGATGGAGATGGATTTTCCATTGATGACAAGTTTCCCGTTCTCAGCCTTGACTGTGCCTTTGAACTTGCCTTGAGTAGAATCATACTGGAACATGTAGACCATGTAGTTGAGGTCAATAAAGGGGTCATTGATGGCGACAATATCTACTTTGCCAGAGTTAAAAGCAGCCCTGGTGACCTGGCGCCCAATACGACCAAATCCGTTCACTCCGACCTTCACCATTGTGTCTCAGGGCTGAGGCTGGCACTGCGCAGGAAGACGTGGCTGTCTGACGAATTGGAGGAGCAGAGAGCCATGTGTTTTTATGCTTTAGCGTAAGATCTAAGTTTGATGTATGGAGCATGTACATACATATGTACAATTTCTGTTAAAAATTTGGATTCTTTTGCAGATAATTTTGTATGTCAAGGAGGAGATGAAAAAAAACAACAACATCCCAGAGCCCATTGTCATTGGATTGATCCGGTCCAGTGTAATGAGCTCTGTGGAATGGAACAAAAAAGAAAAGCTTGTAGCAGAGCAAGCCATCAACCACTTGAAGGTATTAGTTGGATCTGTGCCTTGACAAAACATTCTGCTTTTAAGTTCAGGAAAGTGAACTGTTACTGTGCTTTTTCTAAGAGTATTTATTACATCTGTGGTTCCTAGGAATAATTCACCAGTGAATAGACAAATAACATATTAATTCTTGATGTAACTTTTTTAAAAGCCTGATGTGGGCTTTGTTTGGTTCACAGGTTAAAAATGAGTATGTGTTTAAAAATAGTTATGTCTGCAATTTTGTGTTTGTTTTTGAGAGAATATTGGAAAATAGATGCATTTTCTTCTTTTTCATTTAAAATATTAAACATTGTATTGAAACTCATCTGGAATCTTTGATTGATTCAGTATTGCTTATTTGACGTAGATGCTTAGCAGATTTTTCTGCTTTACAATTTTTTTCCCCACTAAATATTTACAGTGGTTGTAAAAGATGAATTATGTTCTGTATTTTAGAAATCTTATAATGGATGGTTAGCAGAATGAATGACTAAATCTTTTCTCCCTTTCCTTCAAAAGCAATACAGCCCTCTCCTTGCTGCCTTTACTGCTTAAGGTCAGTCTGAGCTGACTCTGTTACTGAAGATTCAGGAGTATTGCTATGATAACATTCATTTCATGAAAGCCTTCCAGAAAATAGTGGTGCTTTTTTATAAAGGTAATTTAAAAGTTCAATTTTGTGAATACATTTAATAAAAACCCTAAAATACTCAAAGTAATTCTAATGAATAGTTGTCTTAGCATAAGCTCCCTAAAATGTTTTATGCTAATCACAGGGTTGAGTTGTCCCCCCATTGAATCATTGAATTGGGTGCCCCCCCCCCTTTTTTAAAGAATGGGGGCCCTGGCCGAATAGGTAGGTAGGTAGGTAGGTAGGTCATTTGGTTGAAGAATTGTCCCAATATGCAAAGGTTTCAAGTTTAGTCCCTGGTCAGAGCACAGGAATCAACCAATGAATGCATGGATAAATGGAACAACAAATTTATGTTTCTCCCTCCCTCCCTCCCTTCCTCTTTCTCTCTAAAATCAATAATTAAAAAAGGAAGAGTGGAATAATGAACTCCGAGTAACCCATGATTTAGTGATTGTCAGCTTAGGTTTCTTAAAAGTATCTATACCCCTGCTTATTTGCCACTCAGATTATTTAGAAACAAATCCTAGAAATCTTTCATTCTTAATTCTTCCACTATAAGCTGGTGTGGCTCAGTGGTTGAGTATCAACCCATGCACCAAGAGGTCACCAGTTCCATTCCTGGTCAGGGCACATGCCCAGGTTGTGGGCCCCATCCCCAGTTGGGGGCATGTAGAAAGCGGCCAGTCGATGCTCTCTCTCATCATGTTTCTATCTCTTCCTCTCCCTCTCTCTAAAATCAATACAGAAAAAATAATTTAAAAAAAGAGTGTATAGTGCTTTAAAAAAAAAGGGCTTTAAATACAGGCTTATTTTTTTCAGTAGGATCTTTATTGCTATGCAGGCATTTGCACCTTAGGTGGGTTCTAACTGCATAAAACTGCCCAAATGTAATGATCGCTCTCTTCTTTATAGCTGAAGTCCTGAGTGAAGAACCCATTCTGAAGTGGTATAAAGATGCACATGTTGCAAAGGGGAAAAGTGTCTTCCTTGAACAAATGAAAAAGTTTGTGGAGTGGCTCAAAAATGCTGAAGAAGGTAAGTCTTTTTTTTTGTGCAGTTTGGTAAAGTCTGACAACTAGTAAATATGGCCATAGAATGTGTCCACACCTGCTGCTTTCTTTAATTTAGATACCGTTTTGTACCTAGAATACAGATTTTTATTCATTTATTTACTTTAAGGCAGTTGAGGAGAACTAGACTTTATTGAAATCTTTTGATGGCCATAATACTGAACTTTCTTAGAAAATTTGAAAATTTTGTGAGTATCTAATACTTATGAATTTTGAGATTTATAAATGAATACTTTTGGAGATACCTGTCATATAAGTGGAACATTAATAGAAAGCTTCACAGTTATAAATGGTAACTTTAGCTTTCTGGTGTTATATAATGCTTGACCACATTTTCCCCCTTTTCTAGAATCTGAGTCTGAAGCTGAAGAAGGTGACTGAATTTTGAAACTGCACCCTCAGTAAAGCAAACAGGAGTTGTAGATAAAATGTCATGTCTCATGTGTCCTGGTTCTTACATCTTCCTACCTCCCTATATCAAGCATGATATAAGGGCTTTCATGGCAAATTTTATTTTAACTGTTTCTATGGTTACTGGAAATGTTGGGTTTAGTTTCTAAAACCATGTTTTAAGTAGCTACAGGAGCTATAGATTTGAATTTAATGTTGCATTAGTCTTTTTAGTTATCTTCTACCTCCTGTATTTTCTACTGTAATAATGTAATTTAAGGCATTCCATAATGAACAGTTAACTTTTTTCCTGGGTTTTCTATATAAACAGTTTTCAAAATATGATTTGGTTAAAAATAATTTGTTATAAAAATTCTGTTTGCAAATTAAACTGTAAAAGTATCCAAAGTTTCAAGAAGCAATGCTTTGTGTGATCTGGTATGCCCAAAGTCCTCCTCGTCAATGAAAATCTCATGTACAGTAATTGAATTCATTACCACGAATCTTGAATATTTGGACCATTGCTTGCTTACATGTTAGTATTTTCTTGCATTTTTAACCCAGATGTTTTTGAGCTTGGTTGTTCTCTGGTTGTCATTCCTTAGTGAAGCCATGGAGAACAAGCTTGAGAGTGAGGTCTTTGGGAAATCATATGTGGCAGAGGTGGTGGGAAGAAAAAAGTTGAACTTTTTCTCATTGAGAAACTTCTGCATTCAGTGTGTATCTTTCCAGGCAAAACAAATGGGTATTCTTTTCATACCATTTTAGCTGTTCCTTAGAAAAGTCTTGTCACTTAACAAATTTAACACTTGTCATACACTTAGATTGATAGGAAAAAACTCATGAAATAGTGTGAGTAAAGGAAATGACTGTACTAAACCCAGTAAATTGTTGAAAATGTTAAGTGTCAGCATGTTCTAATTGAGACGCTAAATATAATTCTTATTTCCTATTGGCTTAGAATATTTGATGTAAAAAATGGAGTGCAGTGGTATTGATATATTCCCACTTGGTCATATAGGACCAGCTTCATTCTCTTAACATGTTCATTAATTAATGACTCAAGCATCTGGCTATTAACATACCCTAGTTGCCTTTTTAAATTTTTTAATTGCCATGAGCCAAATATCTCTTCTATACAGTTGATTCATTTATTTTAATGCTGCCTTTTAATTTTGCCTTTCCTTGCTGCCACCCATCTAAATATGTAGTCAGTAGAAAACAAAATGTGACCACACATTTTGATGGAAAGACTACATCTTAAAAGTGAACATTTTGGAAGTTTTGATTGTGGAAAAAAACTAGCTTAGAATAATGCCACCAGAGTCTGAGTGTAAATTGCCCCCTTCAAAGGTGCCATTTTTATGAGCCAAGAATTTGGTGTTCAACAGTTCATTTGGAGGGAATCACATGTAGTGTAATTTGAAATAAAGGTGTATAGTAACCTTAAGAAAAGCATTATTACTGATACTATTGTGAATTGGGTGAAATTGTTAAATGAATAACTTTGATAAAGTTTTCATGCACAGGCAAAATGTATTCACTAGGTTTCTACGTAGTGATCTGCTTTTACTTTGTAATTTGTAGTCCTCAAAAGACTTTTTTAAAGAAATAAAGTCCATCCTTATACTTAGGTTATATAGGTCAGTCTTCTTTTTTATTTTTTTGTAAACTTTATGTTAATGTCCAGTGGTAACTGTATGTTATACATTCAGGTGTCTCTACTATGTAAGCATTAAATAATTGCTCTTTCGTCCTTATAGCTCCCAAACTAGAAACACCTACAAAGAGTTCTGATGTAGCGGAAACTACATAACATTTCTACAACCAAATCATTGCATGTTACTGCTGTTCAAAGTGTACCCTGTTCTATTATATACTGTGTATAGTGAAAGATGTGTAGTCTTCCAGAACAACATTATGATCTTTGATCATATTTTTTTTCCTTCATAATGGCAAGGTAGTATTTACTTACTACAATATTATAGTAAATGGATATCACCTGTGATAGTATAAAGAAAGGGAATGCTTTCTGAGAAGACTGCAAATTTTCTTCTTGAATTTTAAGTGGTAATTTTGGAACTCAGTTGCCAATCCCAACCTATGGCCACAAATATGTAATTCTTAATATAGATGTTAACATTGTACTTGTATGATCAGATAAATGTTGATTTTCCTAACTTGGTGTCAGTTTCAGAGGATAAGTCTCTTAGATGCCATAATTAAATGTGTGTTTAGAGCTGATCATAAGTTTTTTAATCTTAATTATTCTAGAGTATTGTTCTAGAGGTATTTATTATGCTGTTCTTAGGAAAACTCCAAATACCAAAAACACCACAGGATATTTTGACACAGCATAATAATGATGGTGGTGAGAGGAAATCCATGTAACTGAGACGTTAACTTCAAATTCAGTGTTTCTCAATGCTCATTATCACTCTCCCCCAGGAAGCCTTTTTAGAGTTTTCTAATAGCACCCCAATAAATTTTATTATAGATAAGTTCGTATGTGTATTGTATCTGCTTTATACATTAAAAGAATAGGGTTTATTCGATCTCATTTGGAGGTGATATATCATCCCCAATGAGAGTACATAACTTGGAACCTCTTTTTAGAAAGAGGGTTATAGTAGAGGACCTAGCGATAGATGTTTGTTTGCATTGGCAGACATATCTTCATGCAGATCTGTATCCTGAAGCAGTCATCTTTTCTTCAAGGGTTATTAGAAAATTTGTTTTCTGCCAGTCACCATCTTTTAACAGTTATGCTTGCACCCTAGCCCACCATAGGCACCAGACAAATCATTTTCCATTGACTATGGAGATCTTAAGAGATTCTTACTTGAGCCCTGGCCAGTTTGGCTCAGCGGTTAGAGCGTCCGCCTGCGGTCTGGAGAGGCCCGGGTTCGGGGTTCGGTTCCCGCTGGGGGCATGTGCCTCGGTTGCAGTTTGTCCCCAGCCCTGGTTGGTCGTGCGGGTGGCAGCCCCTCGATGTGTCCCTTTCACATCGATGTTTCCCTCTCTCTCTCTTCTTCTCTCTCCCTCCCACTCTGTCTGTACAAAAAATGGAAAAGTGTCCTCGGATGAGGATTAAAAAAAAAGATTCTTACTTGATTGTAAATGTATCATAGATATTTGGGTTCCTTCTAACCTATAAAAATAAAAATTCTAGGTGAGTGATTTAATTAAAGCTGTAGACTACTAAATTACCTTTGTAAAAACTTGCCTCAGATATTGTGTACAGGTGCCATGTAAAATAGGTTAATAACATTTCTGTGAGAATTATGGTAAATGCCTTGCTAGTATTTTTCATAACAAAGTATTAGTCTTCTAGTATATACAGTATAACTATTCACCAGCCTACTGAGGCCTTAAAGGTTTGAAAACACAGTTTTTCGGTAGGCTTTGAGTGGACTTGAGAAGATGAAATCAGTACTTCTGATTTTGAAATCATTTATAATTGGCTTCTCTCTAAAAAACTTGAATTGCAATTAATTTGTACCTGAACACAATCCTATGCATGATTATATGAAATGGTGTGGCTCAAAGGAATTTTCCAGTGCCCTTTCAATCCTTTTATCCTTATTCTAGGATTATAGAATTAATGAATTGAAAAAAAGAATGAGGCTATTTTGCAAATACACTCAAGCACTGTCAATTTAGTAACTCTTAATTAGAACATTGGTTGACCTGGCCAGTGTGGCTCAGTTGGTTGGGCATCATTCCGTGTACTGAAACTTGCCGGTTCAATTCTTGGTCAGGGTACATCCCCAGATTTCGAGCTTGATCCCTCGTAGGGGGTGTGCAGGAGGTAGCTGATCGATGTTTCTAGCTCTCCTTTCCTCTCTAAAAAATCAATAAAAACATTATTTTAAAAAAGGAGCCTTGGTTAAAAGAAAAGCTCAGCTGCTTGTGCCTACTATAGTACCCTAGATGAGACGGTGGTAAAAAAAACAAAACTACTGAATCCTTTGCAGACTTTAAACTCATTAAACTGATATTAGAGCCTGGCTGGTGTGGTTCAGTGGGTTGAGTTTCCTTCATCCCATGGACTGAGAAGTCTGGGTTCAATTCGCTGTCCGCACATGCCCAGGTTGCAGGCTCGAACCCCGGTAGGGAGGCATGCAGGAGGCAGCCGAAGTGTCTCTCACATTAATGTTTCTCTCTCGCTTCCTTTCTCTAAAAAAAAAAAAATTTTAATTGATATTAGAATGCCTTTGTATTAGTGTAGCTTTCGGATCTGTACATTAAATGTGTAGAATGTGTGTGGGGTGCTACAGGATCATACAAATATTTGAGCTGCTCCATTTCAGGGAATTTCCAGTCAGTGAAACCATTTAAAAATATGTAAGGAAGAAAATAGTTTAAACCATTTTTTTCCCAAAGGTGAAATCCTGACAGCTGTACTTAAAAGTTAACTTAGAGGTAAGCCTACTGGGGGAATAAGTAACCCCTTTATAGACTGAAGCCTCTTCTTTAAGATGTTCTAAAAAAAAAAATAGAAAAGAAAAAGATGTTCTACATTTTCTGGCATCTTAAGAATAAAATATTTTCTCTGTAAATAACACCTCATTTTCATTTTAGTTAGGGAGTAATGGGTCTCAGTATGACAAACATTTGAAGAACAGAGAAAATAGATAGTTCTTGGCACTCTGAACAATCTCAAGTACAGACATCCCAGCCAGTAATTATGATGCTGTATTACTTATGTTTAACTGAAATTGGTTTTTGTTTCTACCCTTGAGAATGAATAAAATTTCATGAGACTCCTTATTAATGTAAAAAGAAAAGCAGTAACTTTAATTGATTGTTGTGTGCTGATAATCCTTAACTGCTCGAGTTGGTTAAGGCTAAGTCCTTGTCCTATTCATTTTCCCTGGGTGTTTTAAATATCATCAAAAGGCCTGTCCCTACAGACAATTTTTTTTCTCCAGACCAGTTTTGCTTTTGTTTGGCTCACATGTACTTCAAACACATAACCAAACATATACATGTCCAGAAAACGCCAGTGTTTTTAACTTGATAAAATAGTAATACCACCTATCATCTCCAGAAATCTTCAGGTCCCTTTCAGCCTTCACAAGTCCCTGCCCATTCCAACTCCATTACCACTACCCAAATTCAGGCTACCAGCATTAGCTAGGCTTGTCTTGAAATGCAAGTGTAGCCCTGGCCGGTTTGGCTCAGTAGTTAGAGCATCGGCCTGTGGACCAGAGAGTCTGGGGTTCGGTTCCCGCCAAGGGCATGTACCTCGGTTGCAGTTTGTCCCCGGCCCTGGTTGGGTTGTGTGGGTGGCAACTACTCGATGTGTCCCTTTCACGTCGATGTTTCTCTCTCCCTCCCTCCCACTCTATCTGAAAAAAATATGGAAAAATGTCCTTGGGTGAGGATTTAAAAAAAAGCAAGTGTAACAGCCTGGCTGGTGTGGCTCAGTGGTGAGCATTGGCCCATGCACCAAGGGGTCACCAGTTGGTCAGGGCACATGCCCAGGTTGTGGGCCCGATCCCCAGTGGAGGGGCATGCAGAAGGTGGCCAGTCGATGTTTCTGTTTCTCCCTCTCTCTAAAACTAAAAATTTTTTTAAATAAAATAAATGCAAGTTTAACATTCAGAATGCCAGTCGGTATGTAATGAAATACAACCTCTAGACAATGTGGTCTAATTACATGGAAACCTTTATTTATTTATTTTGAAAACAATATTTACAAGAAAAAAACACAATGAACCCTCATTGATCCATCACCCAATTTTAACTTACCTCATGGCCAATCTTATTTTGTCTGTATCTGCCTCCTCTGCTCCCTTCCTCAACCCCTCCTGGAGTTTTCTGAAGCAAACCCAAAACACCCTAACTTCTAGGAATCCTCGGTGACTTGAAAAGGATGCAGTTCTCTTCTGTTGGAACCAGGGGCTTCAGGCAACCATTCTTGTCACGATGTGAAAATTTCTAGGGACTTTTACCGTGCAAAACAAAATCTACAATGATCTGCAGAGCCCTACATGATCTGGACCCTGGTTGTCTCTCTAACCTCATCTAGTAATCTCCAACACCCATTCAGCTTCAACCACACTGGTCTCCTTGCTGTTCATGGAACAGACTTTTGCCTTAGGGACTTACTGTTTTGCCTTACTGTTTCCTCTTAGCCTGTACAGGCTTTCCTGGGTTTTCTACACAGATGTCTCCCTAAGAACTGCTCCAAAAACGTCTTCCATTCAAGTATTTACTGAGCGCCCTCTATCTACCTGGCATTGTTACAGGCTCTTGGTTGGTATGTGCCAAGAACAAGATTGGAGAATTTATTTTTCAGAGTTGCGTAAAAATAAGTTCCTGTAGAAGAAAAGCAGAGAAGGGTTATATGCATAGTGTTGACAACCGAGATTGTGGCAATTTTAAGTAACGGTTTTCAAGGAAGGCCTTGCTGAAATGAATACCTGAAGGAGAAAGTGAGATGTGTATTATCATCAGGGACTGTACTTGGTATTAGAATAAGGCCAGTGAGGCTGTAGCACTACATTTGAGGAGAAAATAGCTGACAATGTGGTCAGAAAGATGGAGTGGCACAGCAGGTATTATTAAGGTGGTTGTAAGGACTTTGGTTAAACTGATACAGAAACCTTTAGAGGCCCTGGCCAGTTTGGCTCAGTTGTTACAGCATCGGCCCGCAGTCCGGAAAGACCCAGGTTCGGTTCCCGCCAAGGGCACATACCCCGGTTGCAGTTTGTCCCCTGCCCTGGCTGGGTCATGCGGGCGGCAACCACTCGATGTGTACCTTTCACGTCAATGTTTCTCTCTCTCCCCCTCCCACTTTATCTGAACAAAAAATGGAAAAATGTCCTCAGGTGAGTATAAAAAAAAAAAAAGAAACCTTTGGAGGATTTTGAGATCAGTGATAGTGTAACAGGTTCACTCTGGCTTCTATTAATAGACGGGATAGGTACGGTGGATGTCGATTCCATTGATGGTCTAAATTCTTCACCCTTGCCTTGTCCACACCTTTTGCCATGTAACCTTCTAATGCGCTCCCTCATGTAAATTCTGGGGCTCAGAATGACTCCAACCAATGGGATGTTAGCAAATTGGCTCTGGACCACCACCATTCCTGAGGCCGGATAAGCTGCAAAGCCTGGAACTGCCTCTTTGTTTTTCCTTTATTGATTTTAGAGAGGAAGTGAGATGTTCTCTCAAACATCGATGAGAGAGAGCATGCCCCCCACTGGGGATTCGGCATGTGTCCCCCCACCCCCAATTGGAAATCAAACCGGCAACCTCTTGGTGCATGGTTCGACACTCAACCACTGAGCCACGATGGCCGGACTCTTTTTTTTTTTTTAAATCCTCACCTGAGGATATTTTTTTATTTTTTCAGATAGAGTGGGAGGGGGGGAGAGAGAAACATCGATGTGAGAGACACACCAATTGGTTGCCGCCCACACATGACCCCAACCAGGGTAGGGACCAAGGTACATGCCCTTGACCGGAACTGAACCTGCAATTCCTCGGTTCTCAGCCATCGCTCTAACCGCTGATCCCAAACAGCCAGGGCTGGAACTGCCTCTTTTACATCTAATGGGCCCTTAAGGTTTGTGTCATCCAATCTCATGTATTTTCCTTTCAGTCAAACGTGTAATCAATTCACTTTTGACTCTCAGTTCTCAGGCTAGAGATTAGTACAATAGAATATCCATATCAGCATCGTCAATGGCAAAATTTACTTATCTCAAAATTTAGAGTTATACTAAAAAATTTAGGACTCTTCTCAAGAAAAAAGTTCAGAGAAATCTTCTGTACAGGGAACTTTAACTTTGATGTAACTTTTGAGTGGGAAGTAAATTAACTTTAAGGCTATTGCATGTAAAATACCAG